GTATATAATATAAGTTTTAAATATTTATTGTTAAATAATATTTTTAACTAGTGTTGGTTAACTGTTATAATTTCTTAATCATTTATAGGTACCTACATGTTGACGATAAATATTTCCTACATAAATTATTAAAATAAATAATAATAGTCAATTTAATAACATACAAGCTTGTCAATATTTTKCCATTTAAATTAAATCTTATTTTAATTTAATTTACAAACACCCTACTTGTATCAACCGTAATCATGAAATTTTGTTAGATACTAATAACTTTAAATAGGGTAAAATGTGTCAGTGAAAATATTTGTATATACAAATCTTCGTGGGCGAGCGTTGTGGTTTTGAATAGTACAGAACCGTAGATCAATAGCATTTATTGAAAACAAATAGTTGTGGTATTATAATATCATTTACCAGAATTTCAGTTTACCAGAATTTTGGAAATTTAGATTTGTGTAGGGTCCAGACGGTCTTTTAATATTTATCCGTGTCTGTGGTGTGCACATAGTTGTGTACTCATTTTATGAGTAGAGACTATTAAATAATTATTTGGATCACGATTTTTTTAGTTGAGTTATTCGTTGAAGGTTTTAGCCCGTTAGATGTTTACAACGAAACCGACATAAAGTGCATTTGAAAGAATAATGCAAATAATAAWAAAAATAAAAAGTAAAAATCAGTTCGTCGGTTTCAGTTACGGTGATAGTAGGCGTACCCGTATTATAGAGTACCTACTCGCTTTTCCACCTTACACACACAGCCAGTAGGTTTGGCACTAAAAGCATTTTGCTTACCTTTTCACCAAGTCCGGTCCCGACTACAACGTCACAATCGATACGTGCCCATTTACTAATAAATAGTTACATCCTGCGGTCACCTGCAACAACAAAAGTCACAATTCGAATACCATATTACCATCATCATTCGATACGATTTCCATGAATCAATCCATTGTGCCTATCATAGGCGCAATATTATTAATTATTTTTATCATTTATATAACGATACTTATGACTAGTAGATTGATTCGTATTCGATTGTACCTTTTAAAATTTAAATGCGTGTCAATGTGTCATATTTATTCATTTAATACACCGTATATTTATTAATTAACACAGTTCGCAACAATAAAAGCTTTTAGACGTGATTCCGGTTTAATAGATATAAATAACTAATTTACCGTAGTATACTATAGTGACTGCTTTTTTACTATCATTAATTCGTTGTCATGTAGTCTGGTATATCTGTATAATTATTCATTTGTCAAAAGAATATAATATATAATTTGTTTAAAAATATCTTCACAGAGACGTTACTTTTTTTACTTGC